AAGGCAGAGGGCGAGAAAAAGGAGGAAAAGAAAGAAGACAAGAAGGATGACAAGCCTAAGGCCGATGGCGCGAAGAAAGAAGAGAAGAAAGATGACAAAAAAGACGACAAGCCTAAGGCAGAGGCCGACAAGAAGGACGACAAGCCGAAGGATGGAAAGCCAGAGGCCCCAAAGGCCGAGAAGCAGAAAACTGAGGAAAAGCCGAAGGAATCGGTGCGCCCGGGTTTCGTCGGGTTCTGCTTCCTTATAGGGTTGCTTCGACACCCCATACTGTGCCAACAGGGCATGAAGACAATTATCATAGGGTGCCCAAATAATTGGCTATACTATTTGGGGGCTCCTTATTAGTATTTTTAGTATTATTAATATTATTTATACTAGAATGGGCCCCAAAACCCTATCCTAATGATTAAGGCCCCTACATTGCTCATGTTCCAAGTTCTCCACACATGGGGTGTCCGGTCTATCGTGTAGCTAGAACTTCGTCGGTTTCACGAGGGCCACTTTTCCAGACATCCGGGTGTCGCTTAAAATGAAACCGCTGAGTTTCCTGATCCGCCCAAGCCCTTTAAACTGGTAGCTAAGTAGCTGAGTGAGGACAGTTTACACTTTTGCAGATAATACTTCCCTGTAGAAAACTGAGGCAAAAGTAGAAGTTCCAGCGCCGAAGCTTTAATTCGCCCCTACTGCAGGCATTCACCGATGGTCCCAGACCAAGATCCCGTAATTGAGGAATATGCCTTTAATTCTCGTAGGATCCCTAATGGACCTCAAGGTATATTCCTTATCTTCGGGTTGTCTTTTAAGGTTTGCGGTCGGCCCGTGTTGTCACCGCTTCGGATGTGTCAAGTTGCAGGCGTATGGGTAATTGTAGGCCTGACCTGATCCCTAAATTACCTACCCCTTTTCGGGTTTCTCTTGCTATGATTTCCATATAAGAGTCCTTAAGAAGGTAGCTCATCTAGGGTCCGGGGTGGCTTGAGGTTCGAATGTCTCGACTCTATACTTTCTGGAGTCTCCGGGGATTACTGCTCATACATTTGCGATTTCGGCTACATGCGTCATGCGTCGGCCACGATCCTAGGTAGTATTAGGGAGACCCTTCAAAGGGACCCTTCAGAACCCTACTTATGGCTCTCTTAAAAGAGACCATATTGAGAGGGTCTATATCCCCAAAGGTCCCCCTAAACCCTTAACCCCAACTCCTACACGAGGTTTGGGGCTCAGCTTTTTTCGTGTTGAGCCGAAGTTGCAGGCACCGTAAAACTCGCACTGACAAGTCGGACCTCAGCATTCAACAGCCCAATGTAGGGGCCTAAATAAGGATTTACCTATAGTCTCCATTGTACTTCCTTTTGGGGGATACCTTAATAAATTCCTCAATATATAATTGGTTAAAGGTAGGGTTTAGGGTTTAAGGGCCTACATAATTACCCAAACTATTTTGCGGGCTCATTATTTTTGATATGGTATAATATACCCAAAACCTTAGTCTAATTAGTAAGGCCCCTATGTTCACGCTCGGCCCCTTTCGTTAGGTAAGGGCTCGGGGCTTACGCCCAAAACTCAAGCCGAAGGCGCTTGAGAAAGTGTTGGAGAAGGTTGAGAAAGTGTTGGAGAAGGTCCTGATTGATGGAGGGGGCTTATCAGGCTTAGCATAGGATTACGGTTATAGGTTTTAAAGATTCGAGGCTTAGGTGCATAGGCTTTGGCAAGTTAAGGGTGTAAGAGGCTTAAGGGATTCGGGCATAGGCAGAATTTATGGGGCTGGGGGATTGAAGGGATTAGGATGTATGGTGCATCGGGTCTTTGAGATGTCGGACTACAGTTTGTTTTGCAATTAGGGTTTCGAGGCCTAGTAGGGGGTGTAGGGTTCAGGGTTTAGGGGTTTCGCGCTTCGGGCTTAGGGTTTCGATCACTGTGTACCTTGACCCTAGAAAAACTACACCCGTGGGGTTCATATGCATGATTCCCTCACAAGAACTGTTCTTCCGTAATGATCGGTGTCTTTGCCTTACAAGATGCTTCTTTCAAACGTAGGCTTTTTTTTGTGTGGGTTAAGCCTAAACCCGTAAATGGGGTTTATGTGTCGATGTTTTGAGCAAGTATTCATGAATTCTCCGGCGTCATCGGTTCGGGGTTCAAGGCTTTAGGGTATGGGATTCGGTGGGGGCAGGCGGGGAGGCGGGGTACTGCAGGATTGAGAACTTCCGACTTAGACCCGAAATTGCAATGCGTTGTTGGCTACCCTTATGCAGGTTTCTTATTGTAGGATCCCAGCCATTAAACACTTCCCCCTCTCATAAAGCGCCCCCTAACAATAAGCACACATTGGGGCGAATCCTCCCGAAATCTTCCCTGCCCTTTAAAACCTATTCTGAATTAGGGGGGAGGGTTTCGAGGCCTAAGGGCGAGAGCAAAAGAGCGAGAGCACAAGCAAGAGCAGTAGCAGGAGGTAGAGCAAGAGCAGGAGCAAAAGCAAAAGCGGGGGCATCAGCAAGAGCAAAGCAAAAGCAAGAGCGGGAGTAAGAGCAAGAGCAGGAGCAAAAGCGGGAGCAACGGCAAGAGCAAGAGCAGGCGCAAGAGACGCAGCAGAAGTAGGAGCAAGAGCACGACCCCCAAAAGTGGCAGTAGACATAAACATACCCCCTATATAATCAAAAACTATTTTCTGAATTTTTAGTGAGGGTGGGGGAGCTAGTAATATGAGGGGGAAACGATTAAAAGAGGGGTTATCCACACACAGGTATGTCCAGGCCTAGGTACAATCTAGAACTAAGGCCACTGGTCCTGAATTTGGCCTCCCTGATCCCAAAACTTCCTTTGATCCTTATCCGACATGTCCTCAGCCCCCAAACCTGCGCCCCAATCCTAAACCCACAAGAGTTCAGGGTTGTAGGGTTTAGGATTCTAGGGTTTAGGGTTATCGGCAGGCCCGCTCAGTGAATTGATCCGGGAGGGAGATTGAGGACGAGGCAACGTCGTCCAGGCATCCCTTGAATTGCCTTCTCTACGGGCTTTAGGAGGGACGCTTAATAGGGACCCTTAATAGGGGTTTCGTTAGGGTTTAGGAGTTTAGGGTTTAGAGTTTAGGGTTTAGGCTTTAGTCTAAGGGCTGTAGGAGGGACCCTTAGTAGGGACTCTTGTAGGTTATTGGGGTGAATATGGAGACTACCTGGCTATATAAGGGGTATATAATATAAGGACTGTACAATGGTTATTTAAGGTAATGGGATTAGGGGTCCCTATTAGGGGTCCCTCCTAAAGTCCTTAGACCTTCTGTTTACGGAGCTTGATTTCAGCAGTTTAGGGTTTAGGGGTTTAGGGTTTAGGGTTTAGGGTTTACGGTTTTATAGAAGACATGATCTTGGGTATCATGGCAGCGCAGATGTAGATCAGGTTCTGCGGCCCCGAAGCATCGCGAGAAGTGCCCGAGCATGGCATCATCTTATACTGAAGGTCCTTTAGATTATCGCAGTTCGAAGGTTTCGGTTCGGAAGTTGGAAATTTATAGTAGGTTATGACCCCCTAGTTGTAGGGTGTAAGTGTAGCACCTTGAAGCGCTGGGCTTTTGGAGCCACAGGTATAGTCTGTTATAGTCTGTGGGGTCCTAAAACCCTAAGCCCTAAACCCTAAGCCTCATAAAGCCTAAGCCCTAAACCGGGACAGACTAAGCCCTAAACCCATGGGGGAGGTCCGGAGCCTGCTGGTTTGCAGGCATGGTCCTATACTTTAAGGGTCCGAAGGACCCACTAACAAGGTACTTTGGTTACGGACAGTAGGTATCAACCCTATACCCTTTACCCTAGACCCTAAACCCCGAACCCTAGACCCTAGACCCTAAACCCTAAACCCTAGACCCTAAACCCTAAACCCTAGGGTTTCCTAAACCCTAAACCGTGACTATTTGGGAGAGTATATGACTACCCTAAACCCTAAACCCTAAACCCTAAACCCATGACTATTCGGCACGTGAACCCTTAGGGATAGGTCCCTAGACTTCAGGAGCGAAAAGCACCCACACATGACATTCCAACCCTTACAAATCCGTTTAGGGTTTAGGGTTTAGGGTTTAGGGTGCCTATAAGCCTTAAACCCCAAACCCTAAACCCTATAAGCCGTAAGCCTTAAACCCCAAACCCTAAACCCTATAAACCGTAAGCCTTAAACCCCAAACCCTAAACCCTATAAGCTGTAAGCCTTAAACCCTAAACCCGGAACTTATGGCGTTGTTTTCTGTGCTTTTTCCGGGTCCCTTCTACTACTAACTTCCCTGTTACGCCTTTTATAATTCAGCGGTCATAGAACCTACTATGGAGTATGCTTTGGGGCTAGCGGGATGCCATAAGGACACAAGCGCATGGTACGTACGGCTAGCGGCCTGGCGTCCAGATTGGTTGGGGCTTCAAACCATGCCCAAAAACTTTCCCTAAACCCCTAAACCCTA